AAGTTGTGTACGTATGAAGAAGAAAATTAAGCTCTCAGTAGTTTAAGCTCTCACTGGCGAAGCATCAAGTATACATATGTACAAATATTTGCAATTTTTTCCTGATTCTTCCAAGTAAATTAATTTAATAAAAAGAGAAAATTTTATATTGTTACAAGAGTCTATGAGAAATGTAAGATACACATTATTACTTCAGATACATTCGCAACGGATTCCTCGATAAGATTCTCTTCGAATAAAATAACAAGAAAAATTCTTTCCTTTCTCTCGTAACTATATATAGGGGATATGGCACACAACAAATTTAATTATAAAGATTTAAAATAACAGCAACATTCTCTCAACGAAGATGCCGCGCGCAAAGAAGCCGCTTCGAAGTAAACAACAACCGAAATGATAATGAAATTGCACCCCATTTGAACCCCATTCGCGAAAGTACCAGAAAATATGCTAAGCCTCGGGGATTTTCGTTCACGCGCTCTGTTCATGCAAGCCTCTTATCTCGCTCATTCTCCCTCTCGTATATTTTCGCGTGCATCGTATCTTCGCCCGTCTGTACGTAAATACGCATCGGTCGATGTAGGCCGGCGTCGCCTAGAGGCGTTAAACTGGGCCACGGTGCGTCGGCCTCAGGGCTAGAAATATCACCAGCGGTACACACGTCGCGAGAGGAGAGCGCGTGCAAGAGTAATCCTCATGCGAAATGCTCTTCGTCATAAGTTATATATTATCGAGAAATTATCAAGTGCATGAAATGATTCGATCGAACATCTTCGATTTAATTAAAAACTTACCTATATTAATGAATACAAATTTGCTCTTATTTTCCAATTATTTTAATGCAGCTTCTTGCGGATTTTATTTTATTTTATTTAATATTCGATTACAACGATTTATTCAAATTGTATTGCATTAATTATTTTAACCTGTCCATTAATATCTTATCAGGAGTCTCATATATTTTTTGCACTTTTCGACGTTTAACAAAAATTGCTGATATTATTTTTAATATGTATAGATTCACATCTGCGTGCAGAATGTCGCTTAAAGAATTACGATGGTACGTGTATAAATCAAGTAAAATGCATATGACTTATAAAACCCATCAAAGCGACAACAGACACTCGTACTTGAAACTCACATTTGTATAGAGAATGAGATGTTGCTCGTTAGTAATGCGAGAAGCAAAGTATATGACGTTAATGACACGGAATATGGTATATGATAATTTTGATTCTAAAATTGCATTTCGCAGTTATTTTTTAGTATAATGTAAAAATTTGCGAAAACTTTGTTGTGGAAATACAATATAATAAATTCAAAATATTTAATTACGTTTTATTAAAAATATAAAACAAGACGAAAGAAATTATACATAATGTTATAACATTATATTTTATTTTAAAACTAACAAATAATATGATAATGATGAATAAAACGTGAAGGAGATGTATACATATAAATATAATTTATAAAATATAATTTGTCTAAAAATGTTGAAAGAAACAGAGCATTTTATAAAATATATTGTCAACTTGAATCGCACAACATTGCTCTTTCGCGACATTGTTGAAATAAGATAGACGTCGCTGAGAATAGAAAGAATTCAGAAACATCCGCGGAATGCCCAATGTCGTCCGCTTATTTCTCACCGGTTACACACATGTACACGTAACCGGATTACGGAAGACCAAGTTAAAAGTGGCAGAGCACAGCTGCCTTCTAGCAGCGCAGCCGGCGCGCGTTCATTTCTTCCTTCTTCCTTCACCCTCGTGTCGTCCGAGTTGGAGGAAAATCCGGCCGTTTAAATTATTGCACGGACTTTGCTTCAACTACCGGGAATAACTTGCGGACTTCTGCGGTTTATAGGAAAAAGAATAACGAACTTTTCCACATTTCAGCGTGACGGATGATAGTTTCTCTCTCGGACTACATTTTTTTCTTCCTCTCGGTTACGGGTTAATTATTCTAACCGGTAGAGAGATCTCACAATTTTGATTAGAATTTATTTTTAGCAAAATTGACCCAAAAACCCGAAAATTTATTTCCTGACAGTAAAGTACAACTCCCATCTGTATGCCATACATACGTTGATTCGAATACTCGGATGATGGATAATGAACCATCGTTATACAGCGCGGGAATTACCTTTTAACTCGAAACCAGGTCGTTGATCTATGCACCAGGTGGATAAACGCGCTGGAAAAGCCGGCTTCCGGGCTATGCTGGCCTTCGTGCGGCCTTGACAGTGACGATGAGAGAGATCGTGATATTAATCGCTCTCGTTAAAACGGCTGCACGAGAGTCTGAGAATATACCCGTGCGATCACGTTGACGCAGGCGCGCGATAGCGTAATTCGATGAAAATTATTTCAAATTCCCGAACGAGATTAATTAAGCAATCCTATTTTTCTTTACAAATTTCATTATTTGCACATTTTTACGCATAATTGCTTGTTCGGAAATTTCTAAAAAAAAACTTTTCTTTTTTTTAAAATATTTATTTATATGCAAACAAACGCGGATCTAAATGCCAGTCTTTTTTCCCTCGTGTAAAAGAGGGTTGTGCAAAAAGAGTCGATATGACGCAAGAGGGTGTCTGTCTTCCATCTTCTTGTTTTAAATGCGACAGAAAGAAGCGGTCGAGCTTACGCAGCCTTTGAACAGCCTTGGCAGTGAAGTGCGTTCGCCAAGAAGCGTTTTCCGGCATCGTGAGCACCGTCGTCCACCGTCGAGAAAATATATCGTCCTTGACAGTATCGACGAGCGTAAATTAAGAAAGTTTTCCCCTAAGCGTAGTCCAGAATGGCTTCCCGCGTCGGAGATTGTCGCGTTGAAACAATCGCTCGTGTATAATCCATATCGATAAAGTGTAATACGAATAAAGTATATGTGACATTAATAATGGAACACTCTGATTATACGAATCTCTGTCTAGAGTCGAGCGAGTTTATCTCGATGAGGGATTATTCTGTCGATAGCGTGTCTTCGTTTATTTATAGAGATCTCGCGCAAAAATAATGTAGCCATTAGTATTTTTCTTGAATAATATAAGTGAGTAATTGAGTGACTTAGATTGATACATAGAGAGAGAGAGAGATTAATATTGACGTGTGATTATATTATAAATGATTTTTATGCGAATCATACGCATATCTAGCTATTATTATGTCAGTTTTTTGATACGCATTTTTTCTATCATGCTCACAGTATAAAGGCATTAAACTGCAGCGTATTTTTATATGCAGCGAGAAACAAAATAATAAAAATGCTCGTTCAATAAAGGCGGACAAGCGTAGTTTATGATAGAGCGATAAATATATAGAACAAACATAGTGTTGTTATATATACGAAAATGACGTGAGACATTTTACAAATTTTTTGTTTAATGGCCAAAGCTTTGGCGAATTTAAAGTTGACATTTTAGCAAAAAAATGTTATAGACCGCGCACTCAGAATGCTATTTTCAATAAAATATCAATTTTCGATATAAACCGTTTTGACAAGCGGAAATAAAAAACTGTTAAAAAACAGGAAATATCTATTAAAAAGCAGCTTTGTGGAATCAATCGAGAGGAAAAAAAGATACACGCGTTTAATTATTATATATAAAACTTAATCCGCCTTTAGCTTTCAATATTTGAATATTTTCGCAATTGATGAATGTTTTATTAAATTTTTGCCTCCCTCTCTCTCTCTCTCTCTCTCTCTTAAACGGGCGTCTTAGAAAAATTAAGATTACATCGCGAATAGGCCATTGATCCTTCGCAGACGAAGCAGAGAGGATAATTGCGCCTCGCGTGCTCGCTTCTGACCGTCCTTGACAGTGAAACGCAGATCGCCGTGAAATACTTTCCACGACTACGGACATCACGTCAAAGCAGTAGACTACACACACCGGCCTTCGGTATATCGATTCGTACATGTACAAAAAGAGGCGTTTATTTAAATCCTTACCGCGCCTGATGCATCATCCAGCATCGTGTATACGTACGTTTACACATATTGCGGGTTGTTGTTCCTTTATAAGTAATTCATCCCGTTATATAAACAGACTCGCCCGATATAATTAAATATCCATATCTTGTTTAGAAATTGTAATTAGCCGCGGCTAAGTTTGTCCCCGAACTAAATTTGGCCGCGCGGCTCTAACAAGTTGGATATTACGCGCCGATTTATTTGCAGCGCGCAAATTCTGTTTTTATCGTCGCGAAACGACGAATATCATATAAGTGTAACGATGCAACTTTAACGAGACGGTTATGGCCTTCGCTGTTCCCTGTGCATACATAGATTTTGAAATATGAAAAGCGCCTTTTGTATTGTCCTCGACAATGAGGAACCATCAAATATTTCGCGACTGCTGCACGTTCATATTTAATATTAAAACGCCGGTAGAATGTGGAATATTAATACAACTTGAAATCATGACTTTATTTCAAACTATTTCGATCGCATTAATGCGACAGCGTCTCTTTACGTAGATACATGTGTCATTTTATTTTTTTATAATCTCAGACAACTCTTAAAATTATCAAATTGAATATTTAAACGTCGCTAGTGGTATTTAAAATAGGAACGATATATTTAATTCTCGACCGAAACTAGCCAAGAAATTTTTATTTTATTTCCACAACGTTTCGACCATCTGTTTTTGGTCCTTTTCAAGTAAAAAATTCCTTGATAAGAGTTTTTTGACGATCCATCATAACGATAAGATGCGGTTACTTTTTTTTAAAAGTTATTTCAAATGTTTTTAAAAATTCCGATAATCGCATATTGTTTAATAATCATGACAACAGTGTCAACTAACTGCGCTTTTATCAAGGAATTTTTCACTTGAAAAGGACCAAAAACAGATGGTCGAAACGTTGTGGAAATAAAATAAAAATTTCTTGGCTAGTTTGGGTCGAATTAAATATATCGTTCCTATCTTAAAATTTTTGCTCTTTGCAGATTTTTGTATTATAAATCGAATTGTTTATCGTACATTATTTCAGAGGACTTCTGGCGCTGAAATCCCTCCTCAGGATGGCAGGAACGAGTCTAGAGATTCGGCAAGGCCCTAAAGATTTTCTGCTCGCAAGTCACCGTCGTGTTGAGCGAGATTGCTGGTCTTCGTGCGATTAGTGGCTGTATCAGGGGTAGCGCGGGACGGGGGTGGTTCTTTCCATCGCGAGGATCGAAATGAGCGATCTACAGGCCACCCTCGAGTTCTCTCTCGAGCTCTGCAAATTCTACAATGTTGACCTCTTCCAACGCGGGTAAGATCAATCCGGCTCGTGTCTGACGGCGCGTTCGCTAACATTTCGCGATTGTCCGATTGAAACTGTTTGCTTTCCAGGTACTATCAGATCCGAACTGCTCTCCGAGTATCGCCGAAGCTGCCGGTCAAGGTGGAAGTCAACCAACCGCGAAATCGTAAGTATACTTCAAGATTCAACAAATCCTCGCGACATGAATATCTCATTTTGCATGTATATTATTTCTTTTATTATTATTTTACTTTATTATTATTATTATTATGTATATCGAATGCAAAAGCATTCCTTTTACGACAAACATTTTCTCTGTATTACATATTACTTTTTATATTTTTCATATATTATTAAAAGAGAAAAGAGAGAGAGAGAGAGAGAGAAATTTGAGATATCAGGAGCAATTTTTCTCGGATATTTCAAGTTTTGATATTTCAATTTCTTACGCGAGAGAGCATCGCGTGAGAGAGCCTCGCATCGCTCAAAGTTCTCAGTCGTATCACGCAAAAGTACTTGTCGGATTCGCTTTATTTCGATCGATTCGTGCAATCTCGATCGCAATCTCGGGATGGGAGAAACTCGAACGAGCAAGCTCGACGAAGCGAAATTCGTGTTGCAGATTCCCTCGAGGCGCCGGGCACGAGTAAGCGTTTTCAGATCCTGTACAGGAACGAGGAGGTGACACTCGGCACTTCCGTCCTGTTCCGAGCGCATGTGCTCGTACACAGTCACAAGATCGAGGAAGCTCTGTCCCGAACCCACTTCAATCTAGGTGTCGAGCTATGGTTCAGCGAGCCGACGCAGCCGGGCAACATGGCTTGCGTGTCCTCGAGGTGAGCGTCTTGCCGTTTAATACGGGCGTTGGCGTAAATTATCCTTCCCCCTTTTCCACCCAGCTCCTTCTCTGATATATAGCAGAGACATGCAAAGGGTGGACCACGAACAATCTGAGCAATCAGCCGACCGCGCAATTTTTATCTCTTGTTTACGATCTCTTCTGAATCCGCGAATTATTAAGAAAATAATAAATAATGCGACAAATTTCAAATTAAAGAAGATGGAATAAATTAGACTGCTTCTATTTTTATTATTTCTCTTCTAACGCTAGATTGTAGATGATCATGTATAATCATAACCGTCTAAAATTATTTTTTAGAATATTTTTAAAATATTCGCTTTATTGATTTAACTTGAAATTATTTATGAAAGATATCATTGTGTGCAGACAGTTGCATGCCATTTCTTAGTTTCATAGACACGACACGAGCGATCCACGAATATCGCGAGTATACAAATTGCAATTACAGCGTATCTCCTCGCGAATATCATAATCGCGTTCCTAAGTGACTCTCTTCCGTCAAGTTTCAAAGTTAATTTTCTTCGGGTAGACTCGATAAAGCAGATTGGGTAACGACGTTGAAGAAAATTACTCCAGGCAACACTCAATTCGCAACACTCGTCGCAGAGACGTCTAGAAAGATATCTTTTCCAAACACCCTTTAAACGTCTATCAGATATCTCTGTTGGATATTTGTTCGTGAATTGTGTCGAAATCGCGTCGGGACTGATCGATTCTTTTTCAGGGCACTGCAACTGAACTTCACACCTACGAAGGGTCTTCACTACCATCTGCCGGTGCTCTTCGATTACTTTCACCTAGCCGCGGTGTCTATCACGATCCACGCCTGTCTCGTGGCACTCCATCAGCCGTACATCAAGTCAGTATCGCCCTCGCATTTCGTAATTCTCCAATAAGCAATCCGCTCGATGTGTATGTATATAATCGACGTTGTCCCTCACGAGAGCCCCCTCTTTCTGTTTTATGGTCGTGCCCTTTCACCCCGACGAAAGTAGGAAGAGCATACTGCACGTAGTGCAGAGCTGGTGAGTTCTTGATACTTTAAACAAGCTCAGAAAACCGGCTAAACTTTTCGCACAAGTAGACGCACAATTTATTATACCCTTACCTCGACTCTTGGATTTCGGAACCGACTTGATTTTCAATTTAAATCTAACATTTACAGTGATTACATGTTCGCATTGACTCCTGTACGACTTTAAAATTCACGTTAATTAGTAAACGATGTATAATACACGACGTACGTTTTTTCGCATGAAAAATACTTGGGCAAATAAAATGGTTACCCCTTGCAATAAATAGAAATAAACAAATGTTTAATAAGCGCGATTGCGATTATAATATAGGTATCGTCATAAAAATTAATTGCGTGTCCTGTAATTTATTCAATTGCAATTGCAGCGCACCGCGAGGCGGAAAACCCTGGCTGCAGTTTAAGCAACCCGCAGCGAACGGTGACAACAACTCGACCACCTTTGGAAATATTGTGAGTCTGTTATTCGAGATTCATCGGATATATCAAAGAGACATTGTGTAATCGATCCAAGTCTCCTTCCAGGAGACCACCACGAGGTGCGTCGGGTCGGGAACGAGGATACAACACGCGAGACTGGTCCAGCAAGAGGTCACGAGGCTGCTTCTGGCCGCGAGGGAATCTTTGCTCAACGACTTGTCTGATTTAGCGCGACTCCTCCCTTCCTGGCAACAAAGGGCGCTCGAGCTCGCGCAGAACACGCACAAGGAGATCACGAAGGTTCGTCTCTTCTTCAAGCTTTCCGTTTGTCGACACGTTCCTCAAAACTATGGTCTTTCGCAGTTGATGGACACCGAGGAGGCCGACATAGCCCAACTCTGCGCACAAAATATCGTCCTTTGGCAGCATTTTCTGGAAGCGTTCTCCGGCCGAGAAGCGGTTCATCAGCATTTAGCACGAGTTCATCATCAATTGAGAGTAAAGCGAGACTTCATTTTTATCTAAACAAAATTATCTATTAAGAGTTTAACAAGGCTCTGTAATATAAATATAAATTTAAAGTGTAAGACAGGCAATAAAGAGCCAAATCGCAGGTGCACAGGTATTTAATTCTAACAAAAAAATTTAGTTTCGTTGGGATAACGCACTGTCATCCGCGATTTGGCTCTTATTGCCTGTCTTACACTTTAAAATTATCTATATTTTTTATAACATTTTTTTATCCACAAATGATTATCAATTTTCAGGTAAAGCGATTCGCGGAGGGTTTCTTCGTATTAGAAAATCCGAGAACGTCGGCAGCGGGCTGTTACGACGCGAATTATCAGTCTTATCAAGCGGTGAGCGAGGCTGCTCGGAGATCGCGTTATCTCGCATCTCTGCCACCGTTACCTGTCCATTGTCCGGAGCTGGACGGCGATCTTCACTCGTTGCCTTTGATCTTCGAGGATCAGTACGCCGACATGCAGCAGAGGCACAGAAACAGCGGTAAGTTTATCGCAATAAATATATAATAATAATAATAATAATAATCAATAATTCATCACATCAAAAACTATATATATCTTCTCCTCAGTTCCTAGCATGGACGACTGCAGTTGCGGAATAGCGGCGATCCTGGAGTCGCGCTCCATAGGCATCTGGTCGCCCAGGAGCGAAGGCGCGGCGCAGGACATCGGATCGATCCAGGCCCGCCTGATGCTGACGCCTTCCACGCTTCCGGCGAGGCACAGCAAGTCCCTCGATCAGCTGGGTCCCGAGCTGGTGACTCCCCTACAGCCGAGAACGTCGCCCAAGACTCTCCCCAGGTCCGTGTCGACCCAACTATTTCCACGTGGGCAACGTGGCGGCGGTCGCAACGTCACGCCGCCCGCGACGGTGCCCTCAAGAGGGAGGCCCAGATCGACAGTGCCGTCCAGTAGCACCCTCTTCCCGCCCTCGGGTCAGCAAGCCTGTTCCGCGCCGAATCCATCCCTCGGTTCCACGCCAGTGATCCCTCTCCCTCGCGCCAAGTCCACGCAGATGCTGGTGCAGCAACACCAGCAGTCCGATCATCATTCCACTTCCATCACCTCGTTGCTCGCGGCGATGTTTCCCGAGTTGCCGCCCGGCGGACACCTGCCCGGTTATCGACCGTCGTCCAAATCCTGCGAGCAGAATCTCGCGGTGCCGACCTGCCTGGGCGCCCTGGACCTCAGTCAGTTGCCCGATCGCTTGGAAAATAAATCGTCGAATATGGTTGAAGGTAGTATCTTTTGAAATAGTGTCGATTGAAATGTCCCAGCAAACACAGTATATAAATGTTATATACTCAAGCATGTTATATGTAACATATATGTTAGTTGTAATTTCCCACTCATAGATGTAACATTTTTAATATTACATATATTACATTGTAGTTATATTGTTATTATATCCCAAGATAGCACTGACTTATTAATACATCAATGTGCTATTTGGTATATAATTACAATATAACTACAATGTAATATATGTTATATTAAAATGTTACATCTATGAGTGGGAAATTACAACTAACATGGATGTTACATGTAACGTACACGTTATATTACCTGTTATATTCCGTTTTATTATAGCAATGTAACAATTATATATCGGTGTTTGCTGGAGTAATGTTGATAGAAAAACAAATAAAAAATATAATGGATCTGTTTGTGCTTCCTGTAGATTATCATTCCCTCGATACCAGAAGAATACGACTGGAGCCGCGAAGTCATCGCCTGGGAACGCGCCAACCGTTGCCAACGACCACAAACGACCAAAGTAGCTTTCTATCCAAGGCGAACGTCAACGGCGACAGCTTCTTGCAGGAGGCCCAACCATTGCATACAGCGACGTTGGACAGGGTCACTTATCGAGGAAACTCGAGAAAGACTGGGCATCAAACAGGCGGCAAGTATAGTCAAACGAACGGTATCGAGAGCCGCAGGTATCACACCCTTGGCAAGACGTCGATGACGCACAGGAATCGCCCGGAGATCCCGGAGTCCATGAATGGCAACATGCTGACCAGCAGCTATTCGCACCTCGCGGATCCGCCGAACAAACGATCGAATTTTTACGCGACCACAGACTCGTTCTTCTATCGTACAAATGGCAGCACCAGCGGAAGAGCGCGCGACGAGAAGCCGAAGAGGCCGAAGAGCACGGAACGGCTGATCGATGACGTGGAGCGCAACGAATGCTGCGACTTCCGGAGGGATCGACCGACCCGTAGAAGAGCCGATCGATCGGCCAAGTCGTCTCGCAATGGCGTAGGCCAGAATTACAGCGAGGAGAAGCAACGACGCGAGAAGAAGGGCACGGAGACCTCTCAGGAGCCAATCTACGAAGTGATAGCCACGAAACCGGAACCGAAGAGAGAGTCTCGCGTCGAGAGAAGGAGAGACAAGCACGGCAGGCGACCGCACTCGGCGCCCGTCCTCGATACGGATCACCCGGAAGAGAGCGGTCGGAAAAATGAGAAGAAGTGCAGTCACAAAAACAGAAAGCCGGCACCGCCACCACCGGCGTATCAGGATCCCGCTGTCGCCCCGTTGCCCAAGTACCGTCATCCTCCTTCGGCACCTGCGACGAGTGTCCTCGAGGTAGAGAACAACAATAAAATTATCCTGAAGGTAGGATTTTCAAAAATGTAACACACAATAAGAAACATACATATTATACAATTTAATTGATATATTTGAATAATTTGTCTTAGATGGAACCCATAAAATCGCCCATGGAGGCGCCGACGACGAACGGCACGACACCGTCGGACACGTCGACGAGTGTCGGAGTTCCAGCGCCAAACGCGAAGAGGCTGCGATGCGCCAGCGTGCCGGTGGCTCAAAACAAGGTGGTGGTGCCACGCAGCGCGGTCTCTCTACCCTGCATGCCGATACGGGACAGCAAGGACAGCCTGAGCAACAATCTGCCGGTCATTCCCAATCTCCTGAGTCCGCCGTCCACCAGACCCAGCAGTCCCACGCCCAGCTCGAGCTCCAGCAACCTCACGTCCGAGTGTTCGGGCTGGGTCAGCAGCGGCGACACCTCCAGCTCGGAGCAGCGTCGCAATCAGGCCAAGCTGACGAGCGAGCAGTTGCGGCAGAAGCTGTCCAAGATCGTGCCACGCAAGGATCGTCCTACCATCACCGCGAAGGACAGCGTGGAGGAGCACTCGTACGAGGAAGTGCGGCTGCCACCGCCCAAGATGTTTCAGGACGAGCCGCCGCCACCCGAGGAGTTTCGGGATCCTCCGGCGCCGATCGACAATCCTCTCTACCACGTGTACGAGACGGTGAAGCAGACCAGGAGTCCGAAGCAGAACAAGACGGCACCCTGCAGCCCGCAACGGAACCGGGACAGCGTCTACGGCGCCAGGGACATCTGCCTAGACTGTTATCAGGAGGGCAAAGAGCTGCTGCAGTCCACGCAGGACGACTTCATCAACTTTAAGAAGTGCAAGGAGGAGTTCAAGCGACAGATGAGCTTCTCGGGGAAGATCTACAGGTGCGTCGGGTTTCCCAGCCGTCTCTCCCGATTAGAACTGCTTCCTTTTATAAGCCTAGTATTTAGGAAACTTTGTTTCACTTTTATTTTAATTTCTAGTTTCAAGGAAAAAGGCGCCCTTTTGAATAATCCATGAAGTTTAAGTTATTTGACCTGATTTGATATTGTTATTTTCGATTAATTTAATTAAATTAGAGGCAAGCTTGGAAAAGGATGCTTAAATTTATTCTGAAGATCTTATTATAATTAATTTATCTTTAAAAGCAATTTCACAAACAAATTACGCCTTGTGAATATCAAAATTTGCTTTATGAAAATTATATTTATGCTTTAGTGGTGTTTCTTCTTCTTCTTGTTTTTCGCCGAATTATTTTGCAATGCGCGGTACAAGTGACGATGATCGTCAGGATTTCGCTAGGTGCAGTTTTGCTTTCGCTTTCGCGTCGTTTCGTCTGTATCTCTCCGTTTATAGTTAAGTTCTCTTCTCTGTCTACCTTACCATCCTCTAGAGAGCGCGAGGAAGCACAGTTGCATTTGCATAAACGAGCCCAATCCCTCGGATACGGTGACTTCCTCAACTCCTCGCCGTCGGTTCAATCATTAAGATCGAATGTGCCTCTTAGTGATTATCCGACCCTGGCCTCGACCCTGCCGTACTTCCACATCAGCGACGAGTATCGGCTATTCTCGCCGGAGGGTGCGCATCTCATCATATGCGTCCACGGCCTCGATGGAAACGCTGCCGATCTTCGTCTCGTCAAGACGTATTTGGAATTGGGTCTGCCCGGGGCACACTTGGACTTCCTCATGTCCGAAAGAAATCAGGTAAATTACAAGTAATAGTCTTTCTTCGAAATCTAAATCAGATATATTTTTAGAACGCTTGTGAAATATTTTTTCTTATTGAAATATTAATTGTTTTTATTCCTTTTACGTTTATTTAATGTTATAAATATTTTATATTATTTATTTCATAAAAATGTTTGATACTTTTGAAATTCTTTGAATCTCTCTCTGGATTTTTATTTATTAAAGGATTAGTCTGATCAATAAGTGAATAAATAAATATATAAATTTTTTAGAGCCTTATTTAAGATCTTAATGTTTTCGATAAAATTATCGAATTATCATGTATATCGTTTGTGTACGAAAGGGCGACACCTTCTCCGATTTCGAGACGATGACCGACCGCTTGGTGGCCGAAATCCTCTATCACATTGAATCGTCGGGTCTGAATCCGACGAAGGTGAGCTTCATCGGGCACTCCCTTGGGACCATAATCATCCGTAGCGCCCTGACGCGACCGCAGCTGCGGCCGCTTCTGCCTCGTTTGCATACTTTCCTCAGCTTGAGCGGACCCCATCTAGGCACTCTGTACAACACGAGCGGTTTGGTGAACGCGGGTGAGTTTAATAATAAATAATTCGAGCCATTTCTCGATGTAGAGAACATTCTGTACAATTCGTCATTCTTTCGCTCAGGCATGTGGTTCATGCAAAAGTGGAAGAAATCCGGATCGCTGCTGCAACTGGCCATGAAGGATTCGCCGGACGTGAGGCGCTCCTTCATGTTCCGTCTGAGCCAGAAGAGCAATCTACAAAAGTTCAAACATGTTTTGCTGTGCGGCAGCGCCCAGGATCGATACGTGCCCCTGCATTCCGCTCGAATCGAGCTCTGCAAGGCTGCAGTTCGAGATCCAACGGATCAAGGTATCATACTTGAACATCTTTTGTGTTTTCATTGTTATATACATATTTATGCTGTTCGTTTATTCGTCAGAATTGAGCATTATTTTATCATTTAAGCTACAAAATTATCAATTGGAAATCAAATATATTTTTTATTAAATATTATATATTATATTAAATATTTTTATTAAAAATTATAGTAAGAATATAATATATCTATATTATAATTTCACAGAATTGAGCATTATTTTATCATTCAAGCTACAAATATCTCAATTGGAAATCACATATATATATTTCTTTATTAAATATTATATATTATATTAAATATTTGTATTAAAAATTATAGTAATAATATAATATATATTATAATTCGACAGAATTTTGAGCATTATTTTATCAATCAAGCTACAAATTTTCTTTATTAAATATTTATATTAAAATTGATAGTAATAATATAATAAACATTACAATCCGATTTTTCCAGGTGCCGCGTATCGCGAGATGGTGCACAACATCCTGTACCCCATCATGTCAGCGCCCGGTGTCAGTCTCGTTAGATACGACGTGCATCATGCTTTGCCACCGACAGCGAACGCCCTGATTGGCCGTGCCGCGCATATCGCCGTCCTCGATTCCGAGCTTTTTATCGAAAAGTTCATGCTGGTGGCGGGACTGAAGTACTTCAGATAAGGAAAGGACTGTTTAGCGCACGAAGGGAAAAAAATTAATTAAACTGTAGGCTTATATCGAAAAAAGGTACGCTTGGACACGCGGTATTCGTCCGTTCTCCGCGACGTCTTCGACGATCCCGTAATTAGTGTAACTTATAGACATCCGGAATAGAGAGTGTTGCCTCGTTTCTTCCTTCATCGTTCAAGCGCTCTTCCGCGGAAACGATTTCGGAGCGAGGCAATCTTTTTTTACACGAAACGCGACCCGCGTCGTTGTCGAATTTTAGTATCAATCGCCGTATTAGGTTCTCATCTTGATATCGATCACAGATATCGCGGATAAACAGTCGAATTCAGATTCTTCTCGCAATGGGAAGAGTTCATCGAGAGTTCGAAGAATCGAAGGTACTCGTAGCTCGCCGTGAAACGGACCTATTCTGCAGTGTGGTAGTGACGATGGTATTAGATAATAGATAGTAGCTCTTCGACCAAGAGGGAAGAGGAGATCAAAGAAAAAGATGTAGAAAAGATGCTAATGAAAATTAAGTATATGTATGGGAAACTCTAACGCGTCACTAGTCGAATGATCGAAATCTCCACCAATCTCGAAGAGATCGGAACGAGAATTGCGATGGAGCGCGTTTGACGGCCTAGTAAACCGGAGCAACACAGTACGATCACATCGGCTTCGTCAACATCATTCTGAGAAATAGATCGCGAAAGGAAGGAATTATTCGTACAATTGCGACAGTCGAGAATTCGAAGTATCGTACTTGAAAAAAAAAAAACTATAAGACTCTCTGGTCTTCAACCAGCGTGAGCTCTACGACGTAGAGTTCTACGCGATAAGGAGAAAATAATAATAATAATAATATAATACTAAAAAAATAATAATAAAAGTAAGACAATGCAACGACACATTGTCTAGTCGCATAGGAAAGTTACGAAACGTATGTCAATTGTTATCCTCAGATAAGTGTGAGTGCTGAGTGCATTGAGTGCGGAGAGCGGATGGATGAGAACCAAGTACGATGCTGAAAGAGAGAGAGAGAGAGAGAGAGAGAGAGAGAGAGAGAGAGAGAGAGAGAGAGATGATTAAGCGAGAAGATAAGGATACAAAGCAAGCCAGCTGAGGATGAAGGAACGCCAAGAAGAGCGCACGATCGCGCGGAGGACGTTTATCAGAGTTATTAACGTCAACAGGAGAACTCGAGAGTCTCCTCTCGTCGACGACGGGTCTCTCGAGTGCAATGAAATCGCGCCCTGAAGATAAGAGTATCCAGGGCGCGGACACGACGATGATGCGACGGGAGTGACTAACGTTTCAGGTATATTAAATCCCTCCAATACTAGATCTCAATTGCTCAGAACAATATCTATCGATGAAAAAAAAAATCGCGAGAAAGAAAAAAAGTGAAAAGAGAAAATATAGTAATCGCATATATTAATCGAGCGACGAGAAACGCGAAGTCGTCGCGCTATAACCGTCGAGATCGTCGTCGAGTAACACGAGTGAAGAGATTCGGCTTTTGTCGATCACTTTAAAGTCTCTACACAGTGTTGTCAGGATCTTAAAATTTTTAACGATAAATTCTTGGACCAAATTGACATAAACATCTTCTCAAATGTATGGAAAAAAACGTTGATAATTTTTTTATTTATTAGCAACTCAACATGAAGATTTGATTGGAGAACATCTATAATGAAATTGAATAACACATCATCCTTTTGGTTTTATTCTTAAAAAAGATTATATTGCCTTTTTCAAAAAATTTATTTTTTATTATTTCCAGATATTTAATGTTTTATATTAAATTGCAGTAGAAACGATAAAAATTGATACTTTTAAAAATATCAGAACTTTATAAATTCGCCAAAGATTTTATCGTTAAACTTCAAGTGACAGTTTCTGATGCACTCTGTGTATCAAGCTACACGACCGTAGCAATTCAATTGACAGAAAAATGACGTCTCGTACTTTGACAGTCACGAAAACATTTTTGTTTTTTGGAAGAACTGAAATTCCCAAAATCAAACAGAGGGATATATGTTAGATGTTTGTATTGTGTATGTGAATGTGTGCGTTTAACACTTTTAACACGATATGTCGACTGTATGTCCCTATTTGTGAACGATGTAAGACGATATAAATAAAATAAATAAATCCCATTAATCGCAAATGTACATATATCCACAATAGATTACAATTGTTATAAACTTAGAGTTGAAGTACGAGGCGTCTATTTTATTTCGAGTATTAACAATTGCGGAATGAAAAATCATGAGAGCTATCGGTTCCAAGATTAAAAGGATTTGAGATTTTTCGTGAACTGATTAAATTGTGAATTATCTCTCTCTCTCTCTCTCCCTCTCTCTCTCTTTTCGTCATTTCCAAAAATCTAGGTGTACTTTCCATTTTTACTTCATAATATACATTATAAAGTAAATTTACTTTATAACATATGCTTTACTGATAAAACGCGTGCACATGACAGATAGCCCTTCATAATTTTCCACTCCGCAATCTCTCTCGCGCTACAAATCTCTATGTAAACATACACACTGTCCCAAGCGCAAACGTGCGCGTAGAAAATAATGATTTTTACAGCGATTCCACTGTCGTAACGCATGCGTTAAAACGGATCACACGGATCATATGTCGGTTCTCAAGATATATGAATAATATTGTAATATCGTACGTATAAAAATCCGTATCAATATAATCCATCTTTTACATGCGTAAAAAAAAAGTATGTATGTACGTCTACATATGTATCGTCATAAAACGATTACCTACGACCACCGTTAACGTGTATATTGCGATCGTATATATAAATATTATTACAAATGCGAGCTTGATAATCGTGAGATGGTGAAAAATTGCATGAGCGAGTGCAGTTTTGCATTAGACTGAAAACTGTTCGTAAAAAAAAAAAGAAAAAAAAATGCGTAGGAAAATAATTACAAAACAATTCTGTCTACGTAGAAATTAAACTGCATTATTTCCCCTGAAATTCTTATCTCTTTAATATCGCGATAAAATAGATAAGTTTTGAGAATGTAGAATATTTTCTTATTTCACAAATATTTTCGAAGATATTTACAGTTGTAAGATAAAATGACGGCAATTTGTTATATTGCTTCTCAAATAATTTGAGCAAAAAATTCGAAATATTTTTTCTTAATACTTACATCGCAATTCTTTTCTAATGCAATGCAAAACTGTACTTGTTGATGCAAATTCTTATAATGTGTCGCCATCGTGAGTACTATTTTATCGAGCCCGCCGCCAATAATTGTCTTCAATAATTCCTCCGAATTCTGAGAGTCTATTTGATAGTCGTCTATAAGAAATCGGGATCGAAGCACAAAAATCTGCGTATTGAAACATTTCTCTATCGTTTTATTTGTGTCTACGTCGCTGAGATTTTAATAGGACTATCTCGAAGTAGGCTGTTTATCTGATAAATATGTTGATTTTTTCAATAAGACGATTGTAGCGTTTAATAATTTGTCAAGCATTGTCGAATCAGTTTCCGACACTGATCGATGACACTTCCTCTCCCTCCTATCCCAACTTGTCTCTTTCTCGTTTTCTTTTTCTAGATGTTATATAAAAAAAGCTATCACCCTCTATCATATAAAATTTATTTGTACGAGATCTGAAAATATGATTAAATAACCGTGCAACATTAATCACAATTCAAAGTTGGAGCAGCGTTCGTCTACGTCAGCTGGTTTCTGTCAGAAATTTATGATATTCGTGTGTGCTGTCGATAAACGTCAGACGAATATGCATGTGAATGAAAAACTTATGTTTCCGGCTATATATATATATATATATATATATATATATGTTCGTAATCAAACTTTTACTCCGCAACGACACGTTTATCAGGTAAATAGCCATCGCCGCCTCGTTCTCTCGACTGCGCGAATAAATCTCTGCCGATGACGCATCGCGGATCAATCGCGAGAGCCCGAGGTCTTGTTGTTCTCTTTGTTCCTTCTGTCGGTGAAAATCGTCGGAAATCGTGCACAAAGAGGGGATTGCAAATGACGCAGAAAAGCGGAGAAAAAGCAGGGAGGAATGAGTGATTTGGAGAATCGCGAGAAGCTTTTCCGATTTAAATGCCCTCTCGCCAGAAACATCGATCAAAGAGGGAATTTTCATTGCTGTCCTATTGTTCGCTCAACTCAATATATTCGTCATTTTGCATTCTAATTGACTCGACGACGCGCGTTTCTCTCCACCCTCAAAGTCGCGCGGGTCGTTAACTTTGTAATCTCGTCGTGTAAATTTAAGTTTTTAACTTACCACTTAAGGGACAATTTTCTAGGAGTATTTTATCGGGAAGAATCGATCGGACCGATCATTTTCCGCGTTCCGTTTCTGGATATATACGTTTTAAAGAGAGAGAAACCTTCTCTTCGGATCGGACTATTTCAGGGACGTGAAATCGCTATCGCAAGTGTGTGTCGTGGATGTGTCCTTGTGTAATTTACGATTGGTGTATTCATTCCTTTTCTCCATCCCGTGACGTCATCTTGGCTGGTACACATACATATACGCACGAATACACATATAGCGAGTTTTCCAATAAATTATACAACGGTCACCTTTAAGACAATTAATAAATGATTGAGGAACGCAATCTTAAAAATTCCACTTATATTGAATTGGCCCGAGCTCTCATCGAATCTTCACAAAGCCTTTCTTAGAAACGAAGACGTAGACGTATACATATATAGGTTGAAAGTAAATAGATGAAAGTATGAAACTGTATAGAACAGAAGAGGTCAGAATGTCAAGAATGTCTTATATGTTTTTCAACAATTATTTCGCGACATTTAATTTAAATTTATACGAATATTTATATTTTAAAAAACCACCTTAAATTTTCCTCAAGTGAATTAAACTCGCATAAAAAATCTCTACATTATATCCGTAATAAAAGAAGAAATTAAAGAGATGTTAACTGGGAATGGCCGGGGGTTTCGAAACGAGTCTTGAAAGTTGAACGCCGAGGGCCTGAGAAAGTGCCAGTCCGACAGCGATTCTCTCTTTTCGCTTGGAACGTGCGTCGAAGTATTCATCGATACTCGGAAAGGAGAACTCGCTACCGTATTCCGCTCGTGTCGCGATTATCGAGCGTATCGTACAGCTGAGTTAAGACTAAATAGCCACACCACCACGTAATCATTCATCAAATAAATTGCGAAAGAAAAAAAGTGGGAGAGAGAGAGAGAGAGTGTGTGTGTGTGTGTGTGTGTGTGTGTGTAACGTGGGAGTTAAACAGAGGATATATGATCGTCATTAAAGGAGAAACACCAAAATAAAGAAGTGACAAAATGTATACACTATACGTAATATATAAATACGTATAAAAAGAATGAATAAATCTACATATGCATATAATTAAGAGATAGATTAATAAAAAATCTCAAGCCATCGCATCATTATTATTCGTCGACACTTGAGAGCCTGTTTACCTTACCTGCACAATCGATATTCTTTATAAAGAGAGAAAGAGGGCTTGAGTAACTTAATTCGAGATATTTATCACGGCTGAGAAGATAAGGAGGTAACAATGAAAGAGACAGCATTTGAATAAAGAAGCTGATTTAATTCGATTAAAATAACAGAGATTATGGTAGGTATATAAATCATGAATCACGAATGAAAAAAACGCAATACGCGTGTGTGTAAGACTAGAAAATGTATTCATAAAAAATAACAACGTACGCTTCGGGTCACGAGTGTAATTCTCGTCACACAATTTTTCGTTACTCGAGTGGCACTAGTCGAAAGTAGATTTATAAAAAAAAAAAGTGGGAAAAATATTTCGCTTACAAAAAAATTATAGTTAAAATTCGAGAACACGTAAAACCTCTCGAAGCCTCTTGCACGCGAGGATACGCGTTATATAATTCGCGTCAATTATCACATAATTTCTGTATTACGCTTCATCGCGAGGGAGAGATAGAGAGGAGTTTAAAAAAACGATTTACAAAAATTCGTTAACGCGATTCGATCTCACGAGCCTCCCTTTTACTTTTCGTCCTTTAAACTAAACCCTTGGTTTGTTTGCGTCCTGCCTCCGGTAAATTGAATTTTGTTGTACAATTTAAGAAGCTCATTTAGCCTAATTCTCGAACGATGTAGCAATTAAAACGCTCGTTTTTTTTGTCCGAGGAAGGAATTCGTCCCTCTTGAAATATTTTTTCCCCTACTATTTGTTTTCAAAGTCGCAAATGTTATATATTGAGAAATAATATTCTGCATATTTAGTTGGATAAATAATGTTTTTTACGGTTAGTGATGTTAAAAATATTTATTTTTGAACTTTCGTCAAAATATATTTTAATGCGAAATCATTATTTTAAATGTAACATTTTCCATGATTGTAATGATTTATTATTAATTGTCTAATACTGATTATACTGTAGAAATTGTTTGATCCATTAAATATGCAGAATATTGTTTTTTAATTACATTTCCAAATTTGTAAAATACGACGCAATCTCGTGCCGACTGACACTTAAATTTTTAACGATGTTTAATCAGGCTTCTGTACAACGCCTCTTCATTATCTCTTCTTCCTTGTTGAAGTTTCCGATATTATTGTTATTAGTGTACTGACTCGCTTACGTCAATCTGTTCATTTTCCTCTGCGGAGATTATATTAATATTAGTTTCGACGGAATCCTCATCAGGTTGATCAGACTTTTTCTGATTCTTCGATGTTGCTTGCCCTAAAAAAAACCACATCATATTTAACTTATCAAGATTCCTCTCTTTCGCGTAAAAATGGCGAAAAGTCGCGGTAAACAAGCAAACTCCGAATAAATGATTCTCTTTGCATATTTCGAAGGCTGCATCGCGGTGCATATTTTCGCTCGGATTTGTTTCCTTGCACTCGAAATATATACATGCATTTTAACAGATGTTTTTCTCTATTTATACGAAGAGCGTAACGCGAACAATCTCCAAATACTTCGCAAGTGGCTCTCTGTCCATGATGCTTCTACGAGTATCGTGCATAATGCAATAACGCATTTGCATAGAAAATGTAGAAATTTGCGGAAAAGGTCGATCGTAGAATGTTTCGTCACATTCGCGAGAGTATCGTAAATATGTATAAAGATGCCAGTCGAAACTTTAATCATCTCCTTTGAGGCGTTCGCGACAAAGCTCAGCGGGTCCAGATACGATGCTCACCTTGACCGAGATCCTGCGCTTTGCCGAGATAGGAGTATTCTCGCGCGTTGGTCAGACCGGCTATCACACAAGCGCTGAGAGCGCTTCGACTCAGATTCATGGGAGACGCGTCGTACCACTCGTTATAATCCGCGTCGTAGCATTCGACGTACGCGATTGTACTTGTTCCTAGATTTATTAATAACGTCGTCCATTTGTAATATCGCTTAATTAAAAATTTATACAATTGTTTGTTCATTATTTCACATATAAATGAAATCGCGTAATAATGACGTTTCTCGCGAGCGCGGAATTAAAATAATGGTAAATAAATTTTAATTTTTTTCAAGAAATACGAATTCAAAGAAGAGATGTATTTTTCTTTCATCATTTGTCCGCGCGTGATGAACGAGAATAATAGACGAGAATTATGAAGATATGTGTTTTTTTTTCAGGATACCATTATAACCGCCGATGACGAAAATCATATCGTCGAGTATCACCGTGGCAAAATTGCTGCGTGGACTGAACATTTCCGAGATCTCGTGCCATTGGTCAGAATGATTCGGGGTGTAACGCTCTCCTGAAAAAATAAATATTTGTTTTTCTTGAATGCGCCATACATTCAGGCGCATGTAGGAGACCGGTCATGTCAAACGCGCGCGTGGAAAATATTTAACATGCAGTCGCGCAGGTATATTTATAGGTATCTGTAAAGACTGCATCATGCATATACGTATATACACAACGGGCGTGCAATTTGGAGAAACGCGATATCGTTCTGTAAACGACAGTTACAGTAGAAACGAAACCGTGTTGGCTTCCACGAACATTTCCATACGAAACTAAATCCTGACAAACCTACGAGAACTTGACTAATTAATAATTAACGTAGCATTTATATATTAATAGTATCCATAAATTTCATACGTTAAAATTATCCGCGAACAAAATCGCGGCGAAATATTTACATATATGATATCTGTCATTTATGCAAATTCAAATTATTAATTATTAATTACCTCTATTAGCATAAAACATTGTTCTCTCTAATATAATATGCGCTTTCGTCGCTACTGATATGGGGAGAGCAATTATACAAGTTCTCGCATAATTCGGAGGTTGCGGGACTAACCGGAACTCAATCTCGCGACACCGCTGAACCCGCCGAGAGCGTAGAGACTGTCGCGAAAGGCGACGAGGGAGACCCCGGATCGCGGGCTGATCATCGAGTGGATGCTGGTCCACTGGTTGGTCTCGACGTCGAAGACCTCGGCCGAATCGAGGACCTCCTGGCCGTTGAAGCCGCCGACGATGTAGATCTTGTCGTGCAGGGCGGCTGCGCTTGCATCCGATCGTTGCCGGTGCATCGGCGGTATCATCTCCCACTGGTTCCTCTGCGGCTCGTATCGCTCGCCGGAACTCATCCTCGTGCGGCCATTGTATCCGCCAAGAGCGTAAATCTTGCCGCCTGAACAATGTGGGCAATGAGTTGAAGACGATCGTGAAAATAGTCCGAGACAAACGATCTTAGATTTTGCCAAAAAGTGGAATGATTCATGCAGTAATAGTCGGGAGAAGCAAAGCAATAGCTTTATGGAGCTATATAAATCTCTTATATGTTCATCTATTTATCTTCTTATTTAGCTCCAGTTTTTAATGTATAGCTTTGTATTTTCTTAAAGTTGTTAAAGAATTTTGCCGTTGCTCTAATAATAATTTGGCTGCGAACTTTGTTATTTAAAATTTTGATTTTATATAAATTTTATTGATAATAATTAATATATAAATAATTAATAAAAAATATTGTTATTTTATTAAATCGGTAAACTCACCGTGAGTGCAAACGCTGACGTAACATCTGGCATGATACATGCAGGCTCGTTCTCGCCATTCTTTCGTTACCGGATCGAAGCATCGCACTGTACTAAAGTGCTCCTTGCCGTCAAATCCACCGATCATATAGATAAGATTGTTCAGGGCGCATAGTCCGTGATAAGTTCTCGGGGTTACATCCATATTCACTGATACAAACCATCTGTCAGCTCTAAAGTTGACATTTAGATAGGTTACACAACATTCTTAAGGTATCGATATCTATTTACATATAATGTCCTAAAGCATCGCCTTTTGGCGAAATTAATGTCCCTACCGTGACGTCAAAGCATTACATGCTCTCTTTATTCTTTTTCTTTATGACACGCTTATCACTACATATCCCTCAATTTTATTTTTAACGACAGTCTGTTTTACTAAAACGTCAAGGCCTTTTTCAAAATATTAAAATACCATACAAAAATTATAAGATAATTAAAATTAAAATAAAAATTTGAATATATACTTGATAGACTAAATATTTTCTCGAAAGAAGACCGACATTAAAATTTGTCGAGAATAAAATATTTATTTATTTTTAGATAAAATTCTAATAAGAAAAACTAAGTCAGTATATACGTTATATTTTATTGGACCCTTTTAAATTTTGATTTTTATGAAAATTTCCATAACTGAAATTATGTGATATTTGTTTGTAAGTCGACGTACCTTGTATCGTAAGTCTCTACAAAATTGGTGGGCGAACCAGCGCTCCAGCCACCGATCGCAAAAAGAATTTCATATGGAATTCGAGGTCTGGCAAGAGGATTTTTAGATCAATCTCCCCGCCATTCTGCTTTTTATCTTGTTCGGTTAAATAGGCATTTATGGGAAGCAGTATTTGTTGACATGCCTTAAAAAGTTTAAACACAAAGAGAGATTTAACATACTATTATGCAACAAAACAAAAATTGAATCGAAGATACAATAAATGGAATAGAGAAAAATTGTTACTCATAATAAAAAAATTTTTAATTTTAATTTTAATATCTAAAATATGATATATTACATATCTACTAGAACAACATACAGGCGCACACAAAGTGAAGAATCAATAATATGACCTTTTTAGAGGGACAACTATTATTTTTATGTTTATTTTAAAGTTAATTTTTACTGACTTTATATTTAAAGAAATAATAATTTTATATTAAGAATTTAAGCAATTTAATTTTCCCGATCAGCGACTTTGGACTGCAATATTTTTCGCCTATTTTCCTACAGGAGGATCAGAGAGGAATATGGGAATTAAGTAATCTCAAATTGAGATACATTTCTCAAAATAAGTCTTGGCAATATACCAAGCAAAATTCGTGCTCTGTGCACAATTATCTAGTTGGAGCGAAAAATTAATTTCCTTTATAACTAATGTACAAATATCCGCGGTCGGCTTCTATAGCCCGTTTATTTTCAAGTATATAATTTTATGTGTAATATTCAACTTTATTTTAATGTGCCTTCTACTTTAATATTCCTTTATTTATAAAAGGTAGCCAAATATCCATGAAATAATGTGTTAATCTATTTTAATGTCGTAAACAAACATTTCTTGACAAAATAAATAATTGCGAGGAAATGCTTAGATCAACCCATAACATTGTTTTTGTTGACGCGAAGCAAAACAATGCGTTAAGGGTTAACAATGACGAAGGTGTATACCTCATCCTCCTGGACGAGCTTCCAGTTGACGATGTTATTAATGAAATACTTATGACTCATGAGACCGTAACGTATACATTTCAGCAACCTCAGTAAATAAACACGTCTCTTCTCTACTCTAGTTTCGACCCACGTCTTGACGGCGTCAAACACGATCTCTTCGCTTTTAACATTGAGCTCGTCGTCGCGCAATATTGCCTCCAGTTCATCGTAATGGAGATCCTTGAATTCTGCACTCTCCTGCAGTATCTGCTTGAAGTGGTGACGTATGTACTTACGGCCTTGCTTCTCGAGATCGCGGCAGAAGTAGTGGCGTGCAAATTTGAAAATACCTGCGGCCATAAAATATCTTAGCAAGACCACAAGTATATGTAAATTACTTCGCGCACAAATCTGAGGAGTTTGTGGATCTTAAAAATTAACATCGAACTTTAACACAAGTAAATAATTTAAACGCAGAGAAGTACGCGGAGAATTTTATTTTTTTATACTGTCATATATCTAAAGAGCATAGTCAGTTAAGTTAATAAAATAATTAAAAGTTATTATTTACTAAACAATTATAATAATATTATATTATGAAAAATGTAGGTATATATTTTTATATTATTATTATACTTTATATTTATTTTTATATAAGACTTACCCAAGCAATTTTCTGGTCGTAGCTCCTGTAATAAAAACTGACAGCAGAGCTGAACGATTCCGAGGACCTCGAACTGATCAGCGAGTGGCAATAATTGCTCGACATTATCCGCGTTTATGTTGCAGGTGCCCGTATAAGCGTAATCGAGGATCAGGCTAAAAGTTTCACCGGGTACGGAACTGATGGCGACTTCTGTGGTCTCGGTTTTACCACCTTTCAGACTATTGGTGAAGAGGGCCTTGAAGTAGGGGCTCACCGCGGATAATATGGCGCGATGAACTGGGAATACTTGATCCCCGGGCATCTTATGATGCCGTCACACAGCTGCTGGTTAGCCCTGAAGCCGATATACTCGTCACAATTCTGAGAACGTTGCACGTATTTGTGTAATTAAAAATTTAGAGAAAATCTCCAGACTGGGAAACGAATAGAATGTTTTATATTTGACTATTCAACAACAAGATAAAGTCTATGTAATATTAGTTCATTTTAAAATCATAGTGACATAAATTTCAACTGCACGGCGAGAATCCTACAATAACACATATATGCTAATTTATTAACTAATTAATCTCTTTTAAATATATATTTCTATAAAAAATAAAATAAATTACTTTATTAAAAAGCGCTCAAAATAGTGAATAAAATTTCGGTTTTTCCGAAATCATCTCGCAAGCTTGTACGATTTGACCTCGAAACTTCGCATCGTCCCGATGAGAGGGAAAGTTAATAATCCTCGCTATGATTCAGGAGAAGGGAAGGTAAATGATCTTGATTACGGCAGCGTGCGATTATGACCGACCTGAGCTCTGACCAGACGACGGGAAATTCCACGAGGGCGTAATTGGACGGTAGACACATGCATTTCCTGATTCTCGCCGACTGCTTTCGCCTGGATTGCTTGAGGAACTTGCTGATGCCGGAAGTGGAGGCGCGTGACACTCGAGTATGGGACGGTCTCCTGTAGCTCATCCTGTTAACGTCCATCTCCTCGTGGCGGGGTCCACGTGCACCCGTTGGGTCACCACGTGTATCCCCGAGCTTCCCACCGCCTCTTCTGCTTCGCAGCTTCCGCTCAACAGTCGGCAGCTCGCGGATTCAATCTCTTGACAGACATACGATTGCGCCGAGACGCGCGGCCATGACAAACGACGGCCGAAAATTGCCCAATTTTCATCCGATCGTACATATATCGATCTCTCGACAAAAAATTGTCTTGAACGAGCGGTCGGGTGCTTTCCAGCAACGACACAAAGTGACACAGAGAATCATTACAGCCTTGTTGTTTATTGGTATTGAAAGAATATAAAATGGAATACTCTGTGTCGCACTGTGTCGTTGCTGGAGAACAACCTATATATGCTTTTATAAATATAATATTATCCATCTTATAAAAAAGGCATGAAAATCGATTCTCGAATCGCAGTGCACTCGCATGTATCGAAGGCCTCTCGAAAGTCTCAAAGTATATATTGTTGCCTATCTTTTCTGCGATGTCGATTGGTTCTGTCGTTGCGCTTGTTTTCAGCTGCAATCATTGCATATTTTGACAGCTTCTCAGTCAGAGAGGAAAGAAGAAACTTGCAAGGACTATATTTTGTAAAAGAAAACAGTTCTCGTTTAGTTTTAGATATGTATAATTTTCTTTCAAATAGTTCTAATAATTAAAATAATTAGAAAAATTTTAAACAAATATTTTATTTGATAAATTCGCATATTTAAATATAAATGTGACCTTCCGTTTGTATTACGACAGTTCTGCTAATCTCAATACTCGAAAATGCGAGTTTTTTTCGATAAAATATTTATTTATGCCGAAAACTAGACGATAACTTTGATAAAAAGCAGAATTGTCATAATACAACCAGAAAAGCTCACATTTATATTCAAAAATATAATTCTTCGGATGTAATAATTGTTTAAAAATTATTTAATTAAAAAATATGGGAATACGTCTATGAAATAATACTCAGTTTGATAATAAAAAATTTTGAAAAATATATGAGACGGTCAAAATCTAACATAATGATAGATAAATTGGGCCACAAATTTGGAAAAATTAATTATCGCTCTAATTTAATTTATAAGATAATTTATAAGATTTACGTATTAGATGATTATTTATCGGGCTATAATGATTCTTCTACCGGTGTTTGATTTTGTCAGTCTCAAATTTTTCATTTAATCTTATCGATTTGTGATAGTATACTACTTTTGTAAGTTTATGTTAATAACGAGCAGAAACTAATCAAGAGTTTCTTCTTTTTTTTTTGCAGGAACTTTTACGAATATCTCGTTTTCACAGGTATTTCACCGGAACTATTTTATCAGAATTTTGTTACGAAGCCTGGAACGCTTTATCACACGTCTCGTTGCTTCAAAAAATAACTTCCCTCGTGAATAAAACGTTTCTAACCCATTTTACGTCCTAACGGGAAATAAAAAGTCAAATAATCTAAAATTAAATTTAATCCTTGAAGTATAATAAAGGTTAAACGAAAAAGGAGAAGTATAAGCTTGGTATTTGGTTCGTAAAAAGATAAGATTTATAATATAAGGGATTATATCGGTATTGTTACAAGTAGCAACTTTCAAGTAGATTTTCAATGCCATTCTACAAAGAGCCTTCTTTTGTCCGCGTTATCCATTCGGCCCTGATAATGCGCTCGTTTATGAGATAAAAGCAAAAATGAAGGAGCACGATGACGGGGCAGGAAAGCAAAGACATCTATAGTTTTCTGGAGTAAACCGGATGTCTCTGATATATCGATTACAAAGAATAAAATTCTGTTCTGGCTAGATGAAATAGGATTTCTGAAATGTTTCCGAGAATTTCTTGTGCTTTTATATTACACGCAAATATTTAACTTTTAAAATATACATATTAAAATATATTAAAAGCAAAAATAATTCAAAGTATTAATTGTTTATCTATCGAAAAATTTATGTTATATTAAATTGTTTATTTATATTGTTTGTTTAGTTTAGTTAATGTTGTATTATGTATATTTTGAATGTAAATTTAATTTTTAATCCGCAAAAAAGTGATAAAGATTTTTACATAACTTCCAAGCCTTCCTTTTAAAACTCCTTTAAATTGAATCGATAATACAACCATTCGGAGAAATGGTGAGCAATTTCTTATCCCTCGTATTGCCATAAAATCCTTTATCAGCTCAAAGCGGACACGCAGATAAAAGGACTTACACATTGAGGGAGGATTTTTTCATCCTGGAGCTTCAAAAAACATGTATATATGTCAGTGGTCCAATTAATGTTTAAAGAATCTTCCATCGAGAAGCTTGAAAGTTTCTTCCTCTATCTTTTTTCCTTTCCATTTTGCAACTTTCTTTCGTTTACCCTTCACTTAAAACAACGTCGATCTCAATTATTTCACGCTTTATATCTTCCATCTCCCTCCTAAGCTTAAAAGTAATGCAACACGACATTTGCATATCATAAAAATTTAACGTAGCGTAAAACCATTTCCGACGATTTGTCACCGCAAATAATACGGATAACGAGTTTTATATTATTCTTTCTCTACATTTCTGCCATTTTTTTCGTCTTTTTCCTTCTTTTATAGTTCTTTCATTCTTAGAGATTCTACTTTCCTTTTCTTTCTTCCTTTCTTACTTTTTCTTTTTTTTTCTTTTCTCTACATACCTCTTGACATGAAAAACTTTAGTTTGTTTTACTGGCGTATGATTTTGAAAATTCCACTCCATAGATTATAGTACATACACACACGAATGTTTACGTAAACAAATTTACTCAATCTATATGCGGAAGATACACATCAATTCCGTAGATATAATAATTCACTCGCACGTATAGAGTCAAGAAATTAGCGAAATGTCTTGTGTGGAGTATGATTACTTTGTAACTGTGACATATTTCGCGAGCTTAATTCGCCCGACAAGTTTCTACGTGGAAACATAAACTTTCATATACAGGCTATAGTTAACGTATTCCTTGCGCTTTTAATCGCTCTTGTCTTGACAGATCTTAATCTAAATTCTGACATGAAATTGGAATAAAAATTTACCGGCAAGATGAATAACGATTATTCTTCCGCGTACAATAAACAGTCATAAATGTCGTTTATCTTGACGTCTAAACAACGCGCAATTATATGTAAAAGTTTCTAATATACCCGTTCATCCCTCTTTAGAGCTCTGAGATATACGTATGCAAATTCTTGCGCGGACATCCTCGCAAGGGAAATTGCATTACGCGTATACAACCATAATCTACCATGCGCATATGCATGTTCACGACTGAGCATGACGCACCGTTATTGGATATTACGCTTTTGCCCGTGGTAATCGTAGATAAAAGGAGGTAAAACGCGTGCACTATAATGATTAGTTGTAAACCCGATATATAGACTGCGCATAAATGCGTATTCTGTGTGAAAAGTGTGAAAGTCAGATGTAAAATCGATCCTTTGAAAATAAAATTCTCCCTCTCAAAATTGATATCGTTAAAATGCGAATAGATCGTTTTGCTTTTGCGATCGAAAAAGAATTAAGATGTCGACTTTATCGATATTCGAATGTAAATCGCGCTGGAGAGGAGTTAAATATTAAGATGGCCGGTGGCAAAAAATACACAAAGTCATGCTAAAATATATTCTCCGGGATAAAACGACTAGTCGACGACGCAATTCGAGATCTCGCACAATAGACACAGATATAGAACGCATAGTAACGACCTTGACCCGGGTCATGACCGAAATTTCGTACATGGTGAACGCGTAAAAAACTCTCGTTGAAGTATATGTATACAGCAAACAGGCAACTATGGCAATCGTTCGTGGGGAAAATGTATATGCCCCACCGAAGTATCGATGTATTTCAAAAACCGATGAAACTTCAAAATCGCATGTTTACTCTCGCGAGAAGATGGAAATGAGAGCAGCGGAATCATTCGCGCGACACCAGATTGATAAAAAGGAAAAAACGAAATTGCCCATTTCGCCTTTACGTCGACGGTATATCAAATTTTGTGAATTGTTTTATCGGATTAAGGAAATATTGCTCTTTCCTTCAATATTTTCTCTTACCTAATAACGATATTAATTGAGAAAACAATGTATAAATTATTATCGAATTTTTAAATTACATTTTATTGAAGAAATATTTATATGCTGTAAATGTTTTTATATTTTACATCGTTGGCGAGTTTATAATTTCACGGAGACGATAATCAGTTGAAAGTTTGATAATTTGTTTGAAAAACTAAATCTCGTAAAAGTTTTACTCTGTTCTCTTTTCCTGGACACGTTCTAATTCGCACGTTCGACTTGGACTCAATCCGATCGTCAGATTCAATTTCAATTCGCGAAATGCTTCGGTATAGATGAGAGAAATCCAGAGTGAGGGGAGAGAACGGATGAGAGAGATAAGAAGAGGAGAAAAGCCGTATTAAATCCATCTTTGTACATACCATGCTCGTGGACCCGAAAAATTTGTCACGCTAAACTAAGATAAATCGTCCGAGGTCCGAGACTCTTTTCACTCGGGAAAATGTCACATTCTTACCCAGTCATGCCACTTAAGCTTTGAACTTGCCATTTATACTTCAACGGGTTTATATTGCAGAACGATGATTTAATAAGGCGTACTTTCATTTGTTCAGCGAGAGCAATCAACATTTTATTTTACAGCGACGTCGATAAAATCGCGCTTAACGAGGGCGAGTTTGTATTACACTAGCGTTTCAAAAGAGTAATAATAAATTAAGTTAGCTATTTTAACGTAAATAGCGCTTGTCGCAGAGTTGACACCTTAAAATATATGATCACGTTTATAACCACATTACGCGCGGTTCATATAATGCGGTTTGCGCGAATCACGATTTATTAATACCAAGATTCGATATAAAACGAACGAATAAAATAAATAGAAAAATGAGATATTCGAGACAAAAGAAATCTCGCAGAGATGTAAAAATTATTCCGTTAGAATGAAAAAATGTATTTTTTAATTTTTTCATAAATTATTTTTTTAAAATCATGTTATTTTATTATAAATTATTTTATATTATATTATATTTTTTAAACTAATCAAAAGTATTATTTTATACATAGTAAGATTTTGTTAATATTTTTATACAAAGTGGAAATTTATATCGCACAGTTTTTAGCTGAATAAAAAATATTAAAATACTGCCATGACCGAGCAATAGTACAGACAAGAATTTATGGAAATTAATTAAAAAATACTGAAAAAAAATAATGTACCGACAAAGGTGCAACTGATAGAGTTGTCGACTAAAATTTGATATCGTGATAAAAAAATTAAACTCATATAAAAATTTTATTAAAAATATACCAAGACAAAGCATTCATAAAGAGTAAAAACATGCATATAAAAGTATTGATTTATTATTGATTTATGAAAAAAAATTATTTTAAATAAACAAATTATCAATTATAATCTATAATAATTTTATATTTCTGTATATCCAAATCTTTAAATCTAAAAATCGTAGAGAGCTATCAAAAAATGTTTTAATTCTTAAAATAAATAATTTTCTTTATATATTATTGCGCAAAATCAAAAATATAGCAAACATACAAAACAAAAAAAATTAATTTTAACTTTCGAAATAACAGAATATGATTGACAGTTGTATATTAAATTTTGGATATAAGCTAGAACGAAGAATTCTTTATAAAAGAGCGAGGCACGCATTTTTCAAATCTTGGAAACCGCTTTCAACGCGATTTATTTAAATGTTATCACTCGCAGAGGTTTTAAAGCCCGCTTCTTGAGATATATTATACGCATCATCGGGATCCGTACATATTTTGTTTCATACGGTCGATGGCACCTAATCAGATTGTTATATTCAATTCCAATTCGCCGGATACTTCTCATAAAAAATGAAGGAACCGCAAACGGAGGATAAAGAGAGAAAAGTAGATACGTGGAGAAGCTTAATTCAATTTCCGGCTGTCTTTGACGAAAAAAACAGTCGCCCTCTTTAAGACATTTATGTAAGTCAAACGAAAGATTAATACATAGTAATTTTATTTTAATATTATTTAGATCAATAATAATTTCTATGTCGATTAAAAATTAATAATTTACAAGCGCTTGGCAGAGAAGATGAAGTTTACGATAGAGTTATAACAAATACTAGAACACTAAAGTATAGCTCAAAAATGTGCTGCCCCTTTTAATTTGCGGACATTAACTAGTTTTGAGTTAGTGCAGCTTAGCGAAGGTACTCCATACTTTCGGCCAAGATTGTTCATAACTTTACTTTGATAAACTCTACCACAAAATCCACAATCTCTCTTCCCTCGCCAAATTTACTCTCATCGTATAATCTAGGTTACTGAGACTATGAAAAGAGTAACCACCTCAATTCTTTCAACATTTTTCATGCTTACGTTAACAGCTGGACTTTCCAACATGTATTGATTTTATATGTTCGAGGACCGATTTATTGGATTTGAAACTTTCGTTTCAATCTACAGCAAATTCGGAAAGTTATATATTGCGGATAAAAATGTAAATAAAAAAATGTCTCTCCCTTTTTCCCCTATTTTTCTCGGTTCTTATATATCTTATACATAAAATCAATAAAATTACATCAGTATATTCAATTTTCGCACGTGCAATAAAATATCCTCGACATATGTCTTTTCATTAAAATTCTAGATCTAAAGTCATTTATCACTTTAATAATTAATTAGTGGAATTTTCTACCATTACAAACTTTAATAATACAAACTTTTTACTTAAAATTTTTTCCGACTAAAAGACAGATTAAATCTATATATTGAGCATCCAAAATTTTTATTACATTTCTTAAAGAAAATTATTAAAGGAAACAAATTTATATTAATATAATGTTATATTATACAATAAAACTAACAATAATATTTTTATAACAGTCTTTTATTATTTTATTATTTTATTAAAACAAAACACGCGAAAGATAGCATAGAAATATTCGAGATAATAAGATGCGACTTTAAGCATTTATGGGAATATACAAAGCTTGTAGTACGGTCGCGTGATGGTCCATATAATGCGAGTTTATATCACTGGAATGAACGCAAAAGGATCGCGAGATAAACGGGTGCAAACCGTAAAGTGTCTAATTTTATAGGTCAGAAACACGCATACAAATATATTTGACGTTCCTATACAACTCCTCCGTATCGAATCGAATAATCTGCGTATCCCCAAACCTCATAGAAAATTGTTATCCGTCTCCCAGGATACAATTGAACCCGCATAAGGGTCCACTCGACGACAGTCTCGTCTCGAAGAGGCACACGCTGACGGCAGCCAATCAAACCGCAGTCGGGTTTCAATTCCGATCCGCGAAATGTTCTAGTGAATGAGGAGAACTCGAACGAGCGAGAGGGAGAGAAAGAAAGAGAGAGAGAGAGAGAATTCGGATGTAGGACGACGAAGCCAGGGGAAAAGTCTGCGGCGATGAGGAGCCTCTCTCTCTCTCTTGAAACGCAAGGGGTAGGTAGGTAGGTAGGTAGGGATGATCTGGCCTACCCTCTGGTGCTGCTGACGCGCGCGCTGGTGCTTTCGGCTTCCCCGGGACGGACCCGCTCTCTTCTCTTCGCGGCGGCGTCGCGCGTCTCGCCTAGAGTAGGAGTGAGCTGGCCAGAGCTTTGCCGCTGCTCGGAGAGAGCTTTCGCAGTCAGTTCGATACCGAGCGCCGAAGCGTTCGGTACGCTCCGACACGCGCGCGTATCCCTTTCTCTCCGTTTCATCGTCGGCGTGTGCCAGCTTCGCGCGCGCCAACGGGAGAAACCCCCAGAGGGTGGACCGGCGAGGACGACGTCGTCAGGGACAATCGCCTGAGACACGCGGTAAAAAGCATTCAGACATGTGCGCTACGAGGGGTTGGAAAAGCCGCTCGTTAGTTTAGCCGCGACTCTCTTCGCGATCGAGAGAAAGATAATCGAAAGCTTGCGAGGAATTGCGATCGAGAGCTTTTTTTTTTTTTTGACGTTTCCTCCCTTTCGCGAGATTAATCGCTTTGTTATTGTCGGACCGGTGTCGGGACGAGATACCTCGAGCCATGTGTACCATTTGAGAGGCCTCGTCTCTGTCAGCTGGTGAACGAGCCTTTGAACTCCCGAGGTCTTCTCTTTGAGATCGGTTCTCTCTCGTATCCCGAGGGTACGATGGCTTCGAGAGAGGACGTGACTTAAATGTCATTGTCGCCAATCGTGTCCCGTGAGTATACTCAACCACGCACGTTTACATCGCGTGTATACGGCTACTGAAAGCTGCTTTCCTCTCCTCGTGGTTGGACCCTGGTCTGCGCTACTCTATATAAGTACCGGAACATTTTACGGGATTACAACTTTAAGTCAAATTCCCCGTCAGAATATGACTTACTCCCTCATATATATACAAGTGGAAATTTATTATGAAGCATTACTATAGCGATAAATAATGTTTCTGGCAGCAGCCAAAAAATGGTACCGACGAATATTCCCACCCTCGACATAAATCCCGAGATTGCCTCGACGAAAACATGATTTCTCGGCTAGGAAAAGTCGAATTTCTTAATCGAAACGCGCGCGATGATAAAAGAGCGATTTATTTAATCGCTCGGATGAGAAACGCGCTCGCGGGGGAACGAACAATTTCGGGAGGGAACGGGGTGGAATGCGTTATATAGCGGATAATATGCCACACACGCCGCGCGTAGAATATGCGCGGTCTCTCCTCCGGTTACGTTGTACGGTAAATGGCGGGACGGTTCATAGCGAGCGGGCATATCCCACGCACTTCGCATATCGACCCTCTTCGCGGCTCTCGACCTATTAATTAAGCGGCTAAGCGATGTGATTTCGGATGCCAAAACAGCAGCGTCTCGGAACAGGAAGCGCGATCGAAAATGTTTGCGAGCAAATAGCGGAGGAGATATAGCGACTCCCTGGCCGCTTGTTTACAATATTAGCAGTCTTAAAAGGTCAGTCTACTTTATAGAGGATCCGACCAATTTTTCTCTTGCGCTTTCTGAAAATGGTTTTTGCTTTCTTAAACTATTTTTCAAAAATAAAGTGTGCTTCTTGAATTTTTTTCGAGCAAATTTTAGCGAAAAGTCAACAACTTTGGCAAAATTAAGACATCTTAGTTTAAAATAATAATATTTTCATTCGAAACGTGGGTATGAAAGGGCTTAATAAGAGCGAGACGTAACAATATTATCTTTCAATTCTTTTTTAATTATTTTGAATCGTTCTGTCATTTCTTTTTGTATTAGCCCTTTAATAGTCTTTTCAATTTAATATTTTAATTATTTTCAATTTTTTTTAAATAAAAATGAAATTTATTGTTTTATTAATAATCTACAGAGTAAAACTAGACCAATAATTTTTACATTTCAAACAATTACACGAAAAGCAGTATCACGTCGTAAAACTTTAAAATACGCGTTACACGTAACAAAAACATATTCAAAATTAATAAATATTGATGTACTGTTAAAATAAAACATTAATATTAAAAACACGTGTAAAATAGCCGAAAAGATTGAGTAACAAAAATTTGTAATCTTTAAAAAGAATTCCTTATAAATTATTAACTTTTTCTGTCTACAAAATTTGAAATAGACTAACTCCTTAAATTAAAAAGACAATAAATGTGCTCGAAAATGTGTTGATGGATTAATATAAAGAAACCGAGAATCTTTTCACTTCTGTCTTCACTTTTAACAACTTTTCGAAAATGAGACAGAATAAGTACTACAGATGAATAATATTTTCAGTCACTTTTGCGTGTCTTATTTTAAAATATAAATATTTAAATATTATATAATGTATAAAATTCTACTAATATAATATAAACCATGCCACATCAAGCAACTTTATATCTAGGCTACGTAGGGATCTCTCTCTCTCTCGAGTATTTTCCATTTTTCTCCTTCTTTCAAGTAAATTAAGTCTTTAATCTGTCTTTTATAATTCGCCATCTCAAAGGAACAAAATTCACAATTCAATTTCCATTATTTAAATGCGCAGATTAGTAATTCGCGATAAAAGAGAGAAAATTCTCGCAATTACTACCGCTTTAACTCCGTTTTCTTTCCTCACTCCTACTGACTCTGATATAACGTAATTTAATTTCTTCGTAAATTACTGCAGAATTGCGCGAATCGCCATACAAAGGAATTTCTCGTACATAAACGCACACAGACGACACTCGTACAGGAGACGGCTTACGAGGTATTTGTTAATCGCAGTCCGCTAGGATAACTCCGTCCGCTCTTGTTTCAAACACGTTGAATCGTTGTCAACCGCCGGGTGCGCTGATGGCGAAACTGCAGCATTCTGCTGGCGCGAAACAAAATAATACACATTTGCGAGAGAGAGAATCGCGCTCTTAAAAAACGCGCCGTATAATGCAAGGGAAAAAATTAAATTCTCGGCGTGCGAAAGGGCTGCAGGTTTTATAAAGCGAGATGAATAGCATCGAATTACGGTTCGTATCTCGTTGTCCGAGATTACCGGAAGAAGCGTCGCAAACGAGAGACGGAGTGAGAGAGTCGCGAAAAGAGAAGGAGAGAACATTTATTATGTCGTGAAAATATTTCTCTCCTCATTTCCCTTCGCTCAAAAGATATAATAAGCGACATAATGACAGCGGCAATGTACGTAAACGCATTTTTTTGCGCTTTGTACGTGAAGAGATTGCTAAATATTTTGTTCACGCAATACTATCGTCCTCGCGCCAGACGATGAAAATTCACGCGAACGTTTGCCTGGAAAAGTGAGTCCCTTTATGCTTCTGAAAGTTTCAGTAGATAAAGTCCAGGATACAACCCGCAGCCAAAATCGCACGTGGCATCTCTACTAGAGTTCGTGAAAGCGTAAAGAGAGAGAGAAAGGATCTGCAAAAGGGAATCTCGTCAAACTTTTGTCATTAATAAGGGTAGAGTGACCAGATATTTGGCTTCAATTTGTAAAGGATCCGTTTAATACCGTCTAAAACTGACGATTTGACTATCTGGAGGAAAGTGAGACCGGAATAATAAGGCAAGAAAATGCGAAAGAAAAATCGCGCCATATAGACTCTAGGATAGACAGAACTTTTTCCCCTTTTTTTTCTTTTCCGTTCGGTGAATATTGAATATAACGTTCGTCCAAGGTCGGTCTCAGTTTCGATCGCATCCTTTATCAGGATACGTCGTCTGGGGTGTCACGTTGATCCGTCATTATCATCCTTCCTGAACGGAATACGAAATGAAAGAAAGTAGCCGGCGGCGATGGAAAATTTGTGCTCCCGCACTTACTTGTAACTCCATTACTAAAAGCGACGATCTAGATTTTCACGACGGACGAAGAATCGCCCGACAATGTGAGGAAAGAAGGAAAGGGAGGGATATTTCGAGAACATAGATTTATGCGATGCGACTTGTGCGAGTGCGCAATTTGATGATTAAGTTGGCAACTTTATTTTCAGCTCGCGCGCGCGCCCTTTTGTTGCGAACTATCGATATTAAAATCTCTCTTCCTCGACAAGTGAATTTTATGTATATATATATATATATATAACTTGCGAATGTTTTAATCAGCGTTTTCAAATAAGCGACTACTGCTTTAACGCGGACATTTCTCGCAAGCGAGATGTTTAATAGAATTACATTTTTAAAGCTCGCGTATATTCGCAATAATATACGCAAACGTGATTTTAAGTCCGCAAAATATTCTGAAACACGAAAAAGGTCATATGTGAAAAATTTCGCATATATAGCACTCTCTTTCCGTCCGATGTAAATTTATATACGGATTTTTAACTAAAGTCTGCGGCGCGAAATACTCAAAGTTCACCATGCATATTTCTCTCCCACTTGCATTAAATTCTCTATTATAACACAGAGAAAATATACGGTTTCAACAATTTGATGAAAATAAATTTATATGTCACGGTAGTAGTATAGCACGCGACCGGATCAAAGTCCGGATTATTCATCCTGTAAAATGTGCAATTAAGCCATGTATAAGCATGTATATGCGCGAGCAATACGAGAATATTTAATACACGAAACACGCGTGTTTCATTTCAATCCTTTGATTGAAAAATAACATTTCGTTACGCATTTCCATTATCATCATTTCAACAAACGGGATAACACGCGTTCCCGCTCTCGTACACGAGTAACTTAATCGGTGGATCCTATGTGCGGCCTCCGATATCCCATCAAAGAGAAAGAGAGAGAGAGAGAGAGAGAGAGTTAATTTCTGCGTTTAAAGGCACTTTGTATCGATTAATAAAATCTCTAAATAAAGCACGCCTCTTTCGTCCTCATTGTCGTTTCGTCGGATGATGCAGACCATGACGAGAGGGTAGAAGGAAAGAAGAGAGGGATGTACTTGCACAAGTAACACGCGCCTATAATATTTTTGTTACGACTATCGGAAAATATATTGTGGCGGCGTTTTATATAATGAGCCGGCAATTATCCACGACGAGGAGAGATATTGGAAGAGCCTCGATTGCCGGCGCTATTTTTAGCAGCTCGGGGAGGTACATCCCGACGTGTCGGCAAATATTTACAGTGCAGCATGATGACTAGCAAGAAGAGAGAACTTTGGTTCTCGTTTTTTTTTTTTTTTTTTTTTTTTTTGTGAACTCCAGACATGCGCGACTCGAAGTAAAAGATTCACATTTTTTAAGGGCTGGTGGTTTACAGCCCCTCGAAACGAACGCGCGTCGACGCGGAATAAAATGCGAAGAGCTTTGTAAGAGAAGGGAGAGGAGAATTTGAACTTTTTCGTTCGATGCCTCTGTATAGAGAATTTAAAAGTTTTTTTCTCTGTATGTGCGATGGTATATATGTATATCGCTCGTGCAGGCCATTTAATTTTATCGATATTGAGATTCTATCTGATATAATAAAGCTGTTATTTTATTGATATTAAACTTTCGCGAATTTATACGCGGCTAATATTTTATCGCTATTAGATTTCGATTAATTCGTGGGAAGTATACGATAGTAAGTACACGTAGTGGAGTTAGAAAAAGCGTGATGTCGAATTTTAATATTGATAGTGTTTGATTAATAACGCGAATCCGTATTTTTTGTCGAAATATATATGGTGAATAAAATCTCGTTTTCTCCTCTGCGTGTATCATTTTGTATCGATTCCAACCAGTCGAATATCACCCGGATTACTTTCTACATCACAGGCTGTCCCTCCAACTTGAAATGGGTCCAAAACTCT